TGAAGTTCACTACGGCAATAAAAATATCCCCGAACTAAAACCAAGTCTCGAATGTCACTTAAAAAGTAGATTTCCGATACTCGATATCTGTACTCTAGTTTTATTCGTTCTATATAGTTTGGTCCGACAACACAAGCAATCTTTCACATTTTCACAATATGCCTTGATAAAAAATTATTTACCTCTTTCCAGCTCCGACTCGTCTAATGTTAAATTGCAACGTTTATGTCCCGAATGAGGAAAGAAATTTGACTCCACCGATTTTCATTTTTTTTTACCAAATTTTACGAGGTGTAACAAAAAATTACGGTGAATAATTTTAATGGAAGCAAAGTAATAAGTTTACTTGGAATTTGATTTGCTAGCAATGCACTTACATTGAATCAATGTCAGGAAGAGTTTCTTGAAGGATTCTTTTCCAATTTTAGTATTTGTAAGTTCGCTTTCAAATTTTTACAAGCGCCAATATCGCTGTTTTTTTATTTGAGTTTGTAATAAGTGTAGCTGTTATTATCATCAATATCATACTGTTTTCAAACACTACAACTATAAACTAGCTTGCTGTTCTCTAGTGATATATAATAGATTACTAAAAAATAATCAATTATTCAAAAATATTTGATTCATCGAAAAGAATATATTATTTTTAAGTTAAAATAATCGATTATTTTAAATAATCCAAGGTCGATTATTTATTTTTATGACCACCCAACCCTAGTTATAACCTAACGTTTTACGCAATCATTTTTAGTAACACAATTATTTAAATAGGAAGTTTTATTTAAGTAATTGAATTTTTTTTAATAATTTATGTAAGACTACTAAATTCTACCAAAAATTCTACTAAAACTAGCCAAAAAAGCTAAAATCTACAAAAAAGAAAAATCTACAAAATGTGGCAACGTTGGATCAAAGTTACAATGACTTGACCAAGCGAAACAGGGATGTTCTTTCATTACAATTATTGTAATAGATCTATTACTTTTTGATTAATGGCATTACGTCATTACTACAATTAGGCTGTCCAGAACACGTGACCCTGACCCTTGGCGACATGTAGACATACAAATACAAACACATAGATTAGGAGCACGGTTCGTAGACAACACGGATTCCTCTTCCGTCCGTTGCTAAGAAAGGGTGTGACGTCACAGAATGAAAAATCGAGCTGACATAAAATATTCTGCTGCGGTTCGTAAATTAGTTTTTTAAAAAATCTAATATTTTATTAAGATTTAGTCGTGTTTATATTTTTAGTTCTGGACTATATACCTGTGTTGGAGTTTTTATGAAATCAATAATTTGATTTTTTGAAAGACAAGCTACAAAACGGTATGGAAAAATCATGTAATACTTTCCATCAAATTTCAAATAAATTACTTTTTATTTGAATTTTAAAGAGAAATATTATTGTGCGAATGGTTTATTTTAAACATTTGGGATTAGGGTAGGGCCTTTGGGCTGAATTTGGATCACACTTTGTTTATATCCCGAAATATTTTGAAATTTTGGCAAGCCTGGAGCAAGCCGTATTGTTGCTGTTGGCAAACTACTTTTACTTTTTACATACAAAAATCTGACAAAAATCATTAAAAGGAATAAAGGGACTAAACTGAAATTAAAGGTTAATGGTAAGATTTTAGAGAAATATTTTGTAAATATCATTCACTATTTATAAATTAATTGCAGCTTTGTCCACTCTACATTTAAAAGCAGATAAGATGGTTTCTTACAAGCATTAAACACAAATAAAAGCAAGTAAATTCAGTCCTATTTACTAAAAGAACCTTAATTATTAGGAATTTTTTAGAAAAAGGAGTTACAAATAATTTTATAAATGAAAACAAGGGCTCGTTGGATTTTACAAGAAACATTTAATGTATATTTATATTTATAAAAAGAATAGGTTTACATAAAGTTTTGGAAGTACAGTTTAGCCACCATCAAACAACGTTCCTAGTTACAGGACTATACAGGTCACCTGCCTCTAACCCGGTAGAATTTAATTCTGATTTAGAAATGTATTTAGAAAATCTACCAAAAAACTTTGACTTTCATTTATTTGTAGGCGACATTAATATAAATTTACTCAAGAACGATGCAATAACCAATACGTATTTAAATATACTGGGACAATGGGGTTATAAATCAACAATAAATAAACCTACGCGTGAACTATCTTGTCTAGACCATATTTTTTTACTAGATACCACTAAAACAAACAATACTTATATTCCAGTAGTAATGCAAAATTCAACAACGGATCATTACCCAACTCTTTTGCAGATTAATCTATCAACAAATGAAAATAAAAAACCATGCAATTACGAAACAAAAACCTATCTAAACTATAAAAAATTAATAGACAGTGTTTCGAAGGAAACCTGGCAGATAGTCTTTAACGAAAATAATATTCATGAATGTGTAAAAAATTTTGAAAATATTATTATAAAACATATAGAAAATGCTAAATCTATTAAAAAAGTTAAAAGTAAAAAAAAAGGACTCCTTGGATTACACATGCTTTAGTTATATCTAGCATACAAAAAGAATACCTTTACAAAAAATCTATAGAAGATCCAACTTTTGAAAATATAAATAATTATAAACAATACCGTAATAGATTTAAAGAACTGATTCAGCAAACAAAACAAAATTACTATCAAAAGATTATTAATGAAAATCAAAATGATAACAAAAATTTATGGAAAGTTGTTAATGCAATAACCTGCAATAGTAACAAATCTGATGATATATCAAAAATAAATGATAGTGATGAAAATGTAATTGATAATGTAAAAAAAATATCTAATGAATTTTGCGACTTTTTCTCGGACGTAGGAAAAAATTTAGCTAACAAAATTCATCCAAAAAATAAACCCTTTCCTAAAAAACTTATAAGTAATTATTTTTTTTTGGCAGATACCGATGAGAATGAAATCATTAAAACTATTATAACTTTAAAAAACAATAAATCAGCCGGCCCGGATGGAATAAGAGCTGAAGTCCTTAAGATGATTGCTGACAAAATATCACAACCTCGGAAATTTATTATAAATAAATCATTTAATGATGAAATATTTCCAAATTCGTTTAAGTTTGCGCATGTAAAACCCATTTATAAAAAAGGCGATAAACTTTCTTTAACCAACTATAGACCTATCTCCTTAATTTCAAACTTCGCTAAAATATATGAAAAAATATTGAAAAATAGAATCGATAATTACCTAAATACAAATAACATTATTTCTAAACAACAATTTGGATTTAAAGAAGGCGTATCAACACAAAATGCTATAACTACTTTAACTAAAAAAATATCGGAATCGGTAGACAGCGGAAATGCATCGTTGTGTGTCTTCATCGACCTAGCGAAGGCATTCGACACGGTCAGCCATGAAAAATTGTTAGCTAATTTAGAAAATATAGGATTTAGAGGAAAATCAATTAATCTCTTGCGTTCCTATCTGTGCCGAAGAAAGCAATCTGTTGTAATGAACGGAGCTGTCAGCAAAGTGAGAACCATAGAGTATGGAGTGCCACAAGGCACAGTGCTTGGACCTATACTCTTCAATATATATTTAAATAATTTATTTAAAGTTCCTACTAATGGACACATAATTAGCTTTGCTGACGATACAGTTATGTTTTATGATGCACCAACCTGGCGTATACTACAAAATAAAGTGGAAGAGGACTTGCCCCTAATATTTAGCTGGTTTCAAGAAAAATTATTAACTGTAAATTTTGAAAAAACTTTCTTCGTCCCATTTTCTTCTGATTCTTACAGTCTTCCTAGTTTTAAACAAATAATTATTAAAATGGATAATAACAGTAAAATAAAGATATCATACACATCTCACATAAAGTATCTGGGAGTATATATAGACCAAAATATTAAGTGGGACGTACATATAAATTACGTTACAAAAAAATTTAGAATGTTACTTTATAAATTTAGATACCTGTCTCGAATTCTTTCTGTTAAGCAGATGATGATATTATATTACTCACTAATTGAATCACATCTCAGATTTGGAATTGTTGCTTGGGGTGGATCACTAAAAGCACATATGCATAGTCTAGAAATAACACAAAAAACTTTAATAAAAATTATTTATAAAAAACATTTTACCTACTCTACTGAAGAACTATTTGCAGAAACTCAGATATATGACATCCGTCAGCTGTTCTGTGAATGTCTATTACTCAGACAATTCCAAAATAAAGCGGAACTAAAACAAATTGAACACAAGTATAATACTCGGTTAAAAATAAATCAAACGTACCTACCTAAGGTGAAAAAATCAAATACTCAACGCAGTTTCTGGTATATCGGCCCAAAAATCTATAACAGATTACCTGGTGAAATAAAAAACGTGAACTCGAAATACTTGTTCAAAAAATTAGTTAGAAATTGGATTCATTCACAGTCAAGGAACGATATACACCAAATGATTGAAAACTATTACTTATATCCCTAGCTTCCTGCTTAACCTGTAACATAAACAAAAAGATTTGTATTTCTTTTTAGGACTAAGTATATATGTATATATATATATTTTTTTTGTTAATGTGCTATTGTTTGTATCCACAACTTCCAGTTCAACCCGTAACATTTTTTTTCCTTTTTAGTATATAAAAAAAAAGGTATTTTATTATTTAATAATGCATGCAATTAAAATAAAGAACTAATCAGCCAGCCAAAAATAGAGTCATACCTTTCACGTACAGGGCTTTCCTTGTGGAGTGTAAGATACCTAAGGAGGCGTTAATATTCTTTAAAAAAAATATCCATGCCACATACAAGTTCGCTTATGTGGTCGTCACATGTTTATTGACACACTGTATTTTGAAACTGTTTTTTTTTATTGTAAATTTATTGATGTAAATAAACATTATATTATTATTATTATTATCATCATCGGATATAAAAAATATATTTTGTCAGTGTCTAGTTATCTAATGTATAAACAGTATAATTAAAACAAAGAACAATAAAACAACCCAGTTTTATTATAGGTAATAATCTATAAATACAGGTATCCAATTAGAGAAAAACAGTTTTATCTATTGTGTTTATATACATACAATACACAGAGGAGATTTAACATTACATACATACTTGAAGTATTTACATAAATCTTCCGAAAGACCATATCTTAGATTTAGTTTAGTAGCGCACTTTTGTAAAGTTGAAATCCCTAGCTAGGGATAATTTAGAGCAGCGTTACTCAAAGCGGACCAGGATCCCTGAGGCTCCGCAAAGCCTGTGTGGGGGCTCCGAGAAGAAAATAAGCAGTACCCATTACTACCACGGGACTTGGCTTGAGGACCTAATTTTTTTGTTTTTTTTTTAGAAGGAGTATATGATGTTGGTATTTTCGGCTGGAGGACTTTTTTTTTGTAGAAGTCAAGAAGAGGAAGGCGTATATGATTTTGAGAATTTTGATGTAGGGGCTCCGCAAAGGAAAGGGATGAAACTGGCAAGAGGCTAGAGCAAGAAGGACTTTTTTCCGAAATGTGTTTAGGGCTCCGTCAAATATTTCGCTTTTCAAAAAGGTTCCGTCACCAAAAAAGTTTGAGAATCACTGATTTAGAGTATTACTCAAATATCTTATTGTAAATGCTTTACAAATTTCTTCTAAGTCCAACATGCCCTTGTTTTCTTCTATAAAATTATTTGTAACTACTTTTCACTAAAAGCTTCCTTTAGCAAACCCTTTTTTTAATAATGTAGGTTCTTTTAGTAAATCCAGCTGACTTTTCTTGCTTTTCTTTGTGTTTAATGCTTGTAAGAAACCATCTCATCAGCTTTTAAATGTAGAGTTGACAGAGCTGCAACTAATTTAATAATAGTGAATGATATTTGCAAAATATTACTCTAAAATCTTAATTTCAGCTTAGGCTCAATCCCTTTATTTCTTCTAATGATTTTTGTCAGATTTTTGTGTGTAAAAAGTAAACATTCTTTGCCAACAGCAACACTGCGGCTCGCGCTAGGCTTGCCAAATTTTCAAAATATTTCGGGATATGAACAAAGTGTGATCCGAATTCAGCTTGGATGCCGTACCCTAACCCAAAATGTTTAAAATAAACCATTTATACAGCATCATTTGGTCTAGTCAAAACAAAAAACAATTACCAAAATCTTTAGAGCTAAATCAGATTATAACAGACTTTTAATATTCAAAATATGTATTTCAATAAAGATCAGTTAAACTTAAATTACTTTTAAATTAAAGCATATTACTTCTAATTGTCTGGTTCATATAATTGTGTACTAATCTTCCTAACATATATTGGAAATGATTTTTTATAAGATAAATACATTTAAAATTATATTTAAGTTTTAATGTCTTTTGGCAGACTCCCTCGATTCTCGAACATGTGCAAGACTTTTATAAAATTGATCTCCGATTATAAGTGGTTGAATTGCAAAAAAACTTTTAATTAAAAATATGATCATAATAAATAAACAAATATTATTATCCAGAATGAATTTATGTATTTCATTATAATTTAACAAATAGTCTTAATATTTTATTAGTTCATATACTAACTTAATGTAAATGTTTCTGCATACATTTTACGAAATTTAAAGCTGCTTCAGCTGGAGTTTTACCATTTTTGGGTCCACAATTTTCCATAATTTCTTTACGTTTTTCTTTGTCTTCGGTAAGTGCATTCACATGGTTTTTAAATTCGTGAGGAAGAATTTCTCCTTTTTGGCTCATGTGACCCATTTTTACGTTAATGCAAAGGGCCATTTCACCTGCTTCAGTTACATCTCCAATGTCCTCACCCCTTTTCATTTTTTCAAATAGATCTTTAGGTTCTCCCAATTCTGCTTCACAACCGGCTGATGCATCCATTAATCTTTCAAATTCATGTGAAGAGGAATCAACCTGGACAGTTAACAATAATTAAAGAAACTTCTAAATTAAATACATTGTTATTTACATGATGAAAATAAAATAAATGGAGTGTAGTGAAGTAGTGCGCATATGGTTTTATTTCTTTTACTCTCAGAGTGCAATGTCATTTGTCAATGTGAACCTATCAGTATAAACCGTGTAAGTTTCTTAAGTCCGTATTTATAAACAAAACTCAGCTGAGTCGGACTTAGGTAAGTCGTCCTTGAACTAAAATCAAAGTTCGGTTATATCAAGGGGCTGGTAACTCATCAAATGGAAAAACATGAGGTTGGTAATTTAGTACCACTCCAATTAACGGGATGGCGCTCGTATCGAAATGTCATGTCAGTTGTCAGCTCGTCAAAACTTTAAACTAGGAGAAATTAAAATGGCTATTGTATTTGAAGGTGTACAAAGGTGTATTGAATTTTGATTTATCTAGAATCTAGATTTATTTTTCGACACTTTCCAATTTTAAGCATGTTTTCAAACGATGGGAAGATGGATGTCAGCAACAAACAATAAAGCACTCCCAGATATTGGTAGTGATGCAATTTATACCACATTAAATATGCAGTCGTCATATTAAGGATATCCAAATAATTTGTAATAAGTGTCTTAAAGAAAAATGCACCATCACTGTTTGATACTAACGGTAAGTAATATTTACAAACTTGTTTTTGATTCAGTGTTAAAATAATTGGTTTGTTATTTAAATTTCTTTTTGTTTTCAGTTTTTAAATGATAATTATTGTAAAGAAAATGTTGGCCCTCCAAAATACCTTGTCAATCGATAAAATATTTGAGCCACAGCCATCAATATCAAAAATTGATTCAATGCAATTGACATCAAACAAGAAAAGACCGTAAAATCTTCAAGGGTCCAAACGTGTGTAAGTTTAATTTATGCTCAAAAGTTAAATTCATTTATCACAGTGCCCACATGATAAATACAAATTTGATAACTACAAGTGCTGTATAAATGAATCAAGAAAACAATTATCGGATGAAGAAATGCTTCTCAACCTATCTAGTCGACTCAATAACCATATGGCAAATTTTATCCACACTCAAATTTTCCTGGATAGTAAAAAAGGATGATGCTTCAACTTCAATTTTTTTAAACTTATTTGCCACTCCCAAGTCGCAAAAATTTTATAAAGGTCTTGAGCACTTATATATGCTGATTTTGTTACAGAAAACATTTTTGATGGGTTTGTTTTATAAATATTTAATTATTTAAATGGTGTAAATGCATATTTGTTTGAGTATTTCCATGTTTAAATAGACAAATTATATGATGCGGCGTTAATTTACTGTAATGAAAAAAATAAAATAATTTGCATTTTATTTCAAGTTTGAAATTAATGCAAAAATATAATGAAGTAAAATCAAATATAAATTGGCAAAATATTTGACTAATTTCAAATCACATAACAGCCAATATGGTTGTTTTATGATTTGAAACTAGTCAAATATTTTTCCAATTTTTTGCTTTATTTGATTTTCTTCATTACATTTTTGCGCTACCACAAAGTTAAATTTCAAAAAGCCCGCTCGTGGCGGCCATATTGAATTTTAGTACCACTCCAATTTAATAGATGGCAGCACATCGACTCAAAATTTTACCATTGAGTTTCCCATCTATTCACATTAATAATCTATGGTTATATCGCTTGAATTTAGAGATGGGTAGTAACAAATCCGTAAATATACGTAACAGTTACAGATTTGCTAATGTACATCTCTAAATTCTAGTGTAACACCGGAACCACCTGGAACTTTAGAGACGTTGTAACCGAACTTCAATTTTAGTTCAAGGACTACTTATCCAAGTCAGACTCAGGCACATGACTCAGGTAAGTTCTGTTTATAAATACGGACCTTATTTATGGTATTTACGGGAACAAGACGGGAACCAAATAAAAGCTTTTTTATTTAAGAATCAGGGCCAGTTTTTCAATCTTCGGCTATTTAGGATAGCTGGCAGCTATGGAGATAGCCGTCAGCCACTGCCTGTTTAGACTTACAGTTATATCAGCGTTACTCAAAGTGTGGTCCGCGGAGCCTTGGGCTCTACAATGCCTTTGTGGGGGCTCTGCGAAGAAAATAACAAAAAAAAGCAGTACCTATCGCTACAACGGGACTTGGCTTGAGGACCTTTTAATTTTTTTGTTTTTTTTTTTTTAGAAGTAGGTAGTATATGAGTTTGGTATTTTGTATTGGAGGGCCTTTTTTTTAGAAGTCAGGAAGATGAAGGAGTATATGATTTTGAGAAATTTGTTGTAGGGGCTCCGCAAAAAACGGGAGGGACCTGGCAAGAGGCTATAGCAAGGAGGACTTTTTTTTCCGAAATGTGTTTAGGGTTCCGTCAAATATTTAACTTTTCAAAAAGGTTACGTCACCAAAAAAGTTTGAGGACAACTGAGTTATACGATAGCCCTCAGATATTCTGACTGTAACCGTAAACGACACTTGCAACTTGCAAGTGGCAATTTCGTACAGATAGCCGCCAGCTATTTATTGTACATGCGTAGGACGATGTTTGTCAAATTTAGAGGTTATTATTTTTATTAATTTTATTATTTCTCAAAAATGGATTTATTTGAATACATTCACAGCGACGATGACAAATAAATTATTTAAATTATTGAATATGAGCCAAGATGACTGTGTAATCCGTGTATTGTAAGGTAACAGCCCAATTATTTTGATATCGATGAAATGAATTTAATTATAAAAAATTTCTGCAACCTTCTCATTTCGTTTCCGTAATATTGCATTTTTTGTTTTTTTTTTTACATTCTATGAGATAAGCACATTTCAATATTAGAGATTTGATGCGGCAAAATTAAGCATTTTCTCTTTTTTCTAAATCATCAATTGCCCAAAAACATAAAATAACAACTGGCGTAAAGAAAAATGAAAGCAAAATAGAATAATTTTTATGTGAAGGTCGATGGCGATCACCACAAGACACGATATGTAAAGCGGCAAATTTAATTTATCCAATAAAAACCATTTAATAAATTAGCAAAAATGCCAACCTGTTTAAGAATAAATAAAAACTATTAGACTACGTAGCTAGCAGTTAAATTCGTGACGATAAACAGTTCCATCCATGTTCCATCGGTAACACGGACTTTGACTGCCAGCTACGATATAGCTGTCTGCCACGTAATAGCCACTTTGACTGGACATTGAAAAACCGGCCCTCAGTCATAATTAACTTATCATTGATTTTAATCACCTTATGGGCATGCCATCCACACTCTACTCCACGATGTCGGAACGATCAAAACGAAACTTTTTTTTAACCCATTCCCTTCCCGAACGCTCTTTGGTAGGTACTTTAGGAGTGCATAGATAGTGTGAAAAGAGTGCGTAGCCCGAACTCACCCGTTAGGTATAATTAAAATATTCGCAGGTATGCGGCTGCATTTGTTTGGTTGTCTTTTAAAATAGCTACACGTGTGTCTTTTTATCCAACTGTTGCAGCATATATTACTAATGTGAATAGATGGGAAACTCAATGGTAAAATTCTGAGTCGATGTGCTGCCATCTATCAAATTGGAGTGGTACTAAAATTCAATATGGCCGCCACGAGCGGGCTTTTTGAAATTTAACTTTGTAGTAGCGCAAAAATGTAATGAAGTAAATCAAATAAAGCAAAAAAATTGGAAAAATATTTGACTAGTTTCAAATCATAAAACAACCATATTGACTGTTTTGTGATTTGAAACCAGTCAAATATTTTGCCAATTTATATCTTTATTTGATTTTACTTCATTATATTTTTGCATTAATTTCAAACTTGAAATAAAATGCAATTTATTATTTTGTTTTTTATTACAGTAAATTATAGCCGCATCATATAATTTGTCTATTTAAACATGGAAATACTTAAAACAAATATGCATTTACACCATTGAGGACCGATTCCACCGTTGTGTTAAACCAAGTTTAAAATGACATTTTTACATTAATAACGTCATTTTAATCTCCGTTTAACACAACGGTGGAATCGGTCCTTAAATAATTAAATAGTTATAAAACAAACCTATCAAAAATGTTTTCTGTAACAAAATCAGTATATATAAGTGCTCAAGATCTTTATAAAAGTTTTGCGACTTGGAGTGGCAAATAAGTTTGAAAAAATTGAAGCGAAGAATCATCCTTTTTTACTATCGAGGCAAATTTGAGTGTGGATAAAATTTGCCATACAGTTATTGAGTCGACTAGTTAGGTTGAGGAGCATTTCTTCATCCGATAATTGTTTTCGTGATTCATTTATACAGCACTTGTAGTTATCAAATTTTTATTCATTATGTGGTCACCCTGATAAATGAATTTAACTTTTGAGTATAAACTTACACACGTTTGGACCCTTGACGATTTTAGGGTATTTTCTTGTTTGATGTCAATGGCATTGAATCAATTTTTGATATTGATAGCTGAGGCTCAAAAATTTCATCGATTGACAGGGTATTTTGGAGGGCCAACATTTTCTTTACACAATAGGTCTTTTCCTTTGCATCGAAAGTGTAGCACTGGGCTACACCAATTCTGAAAATATCGTTCCATATATACAAATTGTATGGATGGAACGATATTTTCAGAAGTGACGTAGCTCAGTGCTACACTTTCGATGCAAAGGAAAAGACCTAATGATCATTTAAAAACTGAAAACAAAAAGAAATTTAAATAACAAACCAATTATTTTAACACTGAATCAAAAACAAGTTTGTAAATATTACTTACCAAACAGTGATGGTGCATTTTTCTTAAGACACTTTTTGGATATCCTTAATATGACGACTGCATATTTAATGTGGTATAAGTTGCATCACTACCAATATCTGGGAGTGCTTTATTGTTTGTTGCTGAAATCCATCTTTCCATCGTTTGAAAATATGCTTAAAATTGGAAGGTGTTGAAAAATAAATCAAAATTCAATACATCTTCAAATACAATAACCAATAGCCATTTT